TCTTTAAAGGAAGAGAACATTTATTACATTTCTTAATTCTCTTTAAAGGAAGAGAACATTTATTACATTTCTTAATTCTCTTTAAGAAAGAGAACATTTATTACACGTCTTAATTCTCTTTAAANAAAGAGAACATTTATTACATGACAAAGAGAATTAAGACATGTAATAAATGTTCTAATTCATAAAAGTCTTAAGACATAAATGTCTTAATTTTCTTTAAAGAAAGAGAATTAAGAATTAATGTTCTCTTTTTTTAAAGAGAATTAAGACATGTAATAAATGTTCTCTTTCTTTAAAGAGAATTAAGAAATGATTATTTATACTCGTACACATAGCACAGAATAGAACCGCACGCTGTGGACATACCGACATGTCGCTCGCGGACTGGCTGCGTAGTTCCAATGTCTACCACGCGTGGACATGCGCTAGTAGTTTATGGGGCGGAAAAGTGATTACACATTCTCTCATGGGCCTGGCCGCTCTCAGGCCGGTATTCATAGTCGAATCTTATACTTAAAATCGTGTTAAGTTTAACTTCAGATGCTTTGCAGCCAATAAAATTACTCGCACATAATCTGAAGGTAAACTTAAAGGGTCGTCTACAATGGAGAGTTTTAGACTGTAACAGTAAGAAACTGACAAATCACAATCGATTATTTTTCTGTACTTTGCCTGTGATTGGTCAATTTCTTACTATTACGGCCTACAACTCTCCATTGTAGACGGCTCTTAAGACGATCTTAAATACAAGATCCGACTATGAATACTGGCCTTAGTCTTTTCTCTGATTTGACAGAACTGGAGCTGTACTTAAGCTCGTATTGAATTGCGAATTAGAAGAGAGAGATTGCAATGAATTTTAATTAATCAGAAGGAAGAAAACGAATTTTAAGTCAGCGAACTTGACGTTTATATGGCAATGTTAATTTGTAACAATTGTCATCGTGGAATTGGCAAATCATATTGTTCGACTGGCCGAATCGACCAATGGGATTGATTAGTTCCACAAGAAGTGTTGTTCGCGATTAATCTTCTTCTTTTCGTTGTGCACGTGACCTTTAGGGTCGCATAACTCTACTGTGGCTCCAATGTGGCTCCATTAGGAGGTACTCGGCTCTTCGTCGTTCTTTCTGTTCTCATTTGCCTAGGGTGAGTGTTTGACTAGGAAAATCGGATTGTATCACAAACATCCGAGATTTTTCTATTAATTAAATGTGAGAATATTGATTGCCAGTTTTTCGATCATGTAAAATGTTTTTATATTTTCTGTGTACATTGTCACCGTAGTTATATCTGCTTAAAAGTTATATACACTAACCTCCAAAATACTCGGTGCATTCATGTTCAATATTTTGCATTTTTGTCACGAGGGTTTTAACCAACTCTCGCATATTTTTTCTCTCGTAAATAATTTAGACGCAGCGATTTTAGCGTAAGATGTTTTTGAAAAAACATTGTCGCGCTACTAATTAGATTCATAAATCTATCTAATTAATGGGATTTGTCGATTATTTTTGCACAGCCATGGGAGCATATCGATATTTGGGGGAGTTGTATCGCAAGAAGCAGAGCGATGTGCTCCGCTTTTTGCTACGTGTTAGATGCTGGCAGTATCGCCAGTTAATAAAACTGCACCGTGCACCCAGACCATCAAGACCTGATAAAGCCCGCCGTTTGGGTTACAAAGCCAAACAAGGTGAGAATATTAAGTTTATTTGGTTTTCTTTCAAAACTAAATCTATTTTAATTTGAATTTATTTACTATTGTCTATTTAAATGATGATTGGTTCATGCACCACTCTTATGTTTCATGACGAGAAGTATACCATAAATAAACTGATTTGTTCAAATAATAAGTTAAGGTTTATCATATAAATATATTCAGAAACATAAAACATTTTGTTTTTTTTTATGTAGGTTTTGTTATCTTCAGAATTCGTGTGCGCCGTGGTGGACGCAAGCGTCCAGTTCCCAAGGGTGCTACCTATGGCAAACCCAAAAGCCATGGTGTTAATCAACTGAAGCCAACTAGAAAATTACAATCGGTTGCGGAGGTATTTATTTAAATATGTATTTAATCAGTTTAGTGTATATATGAAACCTTCTTAGAAATTAGGTACAAATATATGATGAAATGTACCATGCACCACTCTTACATTGAAAAATGGAGATATACATGTACTCTGATATTTCACAAATTACGAAAATTCTAGAATTCTGTTAGTATTAAATTATTCGTTTTATCATATATTCTATTAGTATTCCTCCATGAAATTACAATATTCTTTTATTCTCAGGAACGCGTTGGTCGCCGATGCGGTGGATTGAGAGTACTCAACAGTTACTGGGTGGCCCAGGATTCATCATACAAATATTATGAAGTTATCCTAGTCGATCCTGCTCACAAGGTGACACACAAAACTATTTATAGTTTTAAAAGAAATCAATAACCGCGTCAGCAACAAATATTCGAGTCTTAACGCAATTTATTGAAATAACAAGTTACTTATTCATGTTAATGAATCTCTTGGTCTTAATTTACATGATGATATTTTTACATCACCAATGAGCGCTAATGATTATTATCTTCCTTGGATGTCTGAAACAAATTTGTATAATAATACTGCTTCGGACACTTGCTTTCGCGCACTTTTGACACTTCTTGTATTCCGCAGGCAATCCGTAACGATCCTAAGGTAAATTGGATATGCAACGCGGTGCACAAACACCGTGAACTTCGTGGTAAGACTTCCGCTGGCAGGAGCTCGCGTGGATTGGGCAAGGGACATCGTTACTCACAAACAATCGGCGGTTCGCGTCGTGCTGCGTGGAAAAGACGAAACACACTGTCTCTTCGCAGGAAGCGATAAATATTTTATTTGTAACTTCCGCGTTCTTAATACAGAATACATCATTTCATTGTTATACATTCTGTCGTATCAATTTAATGATGTATTCTATACAACAATTAAAACTCTTATTCTTAAAAATCACTCTTAAAAATCGTTAAACGAGTCAACTTTATTCTTTCTTCCATACTCCAAATAATCCTTTTGCGAGATCAATGTTTTACAATCGCAACACTTTAATGAAAAAACAAAAAACAAAAAATTGATTTTTCACTTAGCTTCTTTATTTTGCAATATTCCATATGTTGTATCTTGAAAGAATTATAAAAACGAATTTATTGTCCGGGTCCGGATAACGATTTGTCCATAAACTTCTTTTTCGCAAAGCAGAGCCACCATTTGCTCGGCTTTCCATCCTCTTTGTATACTTTTTCAACAATCCTAACGGCTGTTTCCTGTCTGACTTGATGAAGATACTGTCTCATAAGATCTAAAATTAGAAATATATCATTCTGTTGTAATCAAAATTCTAATTAAGTACACAGTTTTTGTTGATCTCTGCCGTTTACGTTAGGTTTGAATTATTATGAAAAAATTATTTTTAATTATAAATATTTCGTCCTGTTCGTACCAGCTTCAGCAGGACTACTTGGTTTAGCGTACACAGAATTCAAAGGGAAGCCAGGATCGCCAGGAATATCGAATTTAGAAATAGCAAGAGAAAACGTTTCATTCATGCCTTGCGCTTGGGTTGCACACTTTTGCAATTTCTTCAAGCATTCGGTAATAAATAAGGTGATATAGATTAAAACTCTGTCAGCCTCACTCTGCAACAAAAACATTTCGAATGACACTGCCACTTATTTGTTGACAAGTTATTAACCCAAAGTTATTAAGAAACTTACTTTAATCTCATATGTTCTGAAAAAAACATTTGCCTTGAAGAAATATAATGCCTCATCAATTATATCTTGTTCTTTGTTGTTGAAGGGAGGTGCAGGACCTCTGAATGTGGTTTTAATTGGCAACAGTGCCATGTTTCCAACAGAAGCATGGTTCTTTGTGAAGCTGGAATGATACGCCTAAAAATAAAGTAAATATAAATAAAGTATATCAGCGAAATAAAGACTTATCCACGAAAATATAGTTGCGGTAAGATTTAAATGTGTATGACTAATCTATTGCCGAGATAAACTCTCTATACACTGTCACTTCTCACAATGAATACATATGTGTGGTCTTGTGTATACATTTTTCTTTACATGAAATCTAAGAGAGATAAAATGAATTATTTTATATAACTTCTGAATAATATATATATATGAACTTGGTAGAGAGTATGATTTAAAAACTGCCTCTTAAATTGTAAAAACAATAACATTACATGTTGGTTAAGTCACACAGGCAACACCCTTGCGACCGCGTTGTGTTTATCCGAAAATCTCCCGTTTATATTTCAGACACAAAAACTTACAGGCATGACGGTCGTGCTTCTTATAAATCTTCGCTTATCGCAATAAATAATACATTCGGCTGACACACGCACTCCACCCGGTGTTAAAGCACGTCAAAACGGGACTGATTACAAGTGGAACAATCCAATTGATAAATTCAGTTGGAACGAACGACGGCAGGCCGCGCTGGAGAAACTACCGACGATAGAGGCTGCGTTCGGAAACATCACCCGGGTGCACCTGCCAAAGCTTGTGCTGTTCGGAAACATTCGAGGTGTACTAAAATGGAATGTGATGGTGCTGTTCGGAAATACTATTCAGGTGCACTTCAGGAGGTAACTTTTCCACCTTAAAATTTCAGGGTGGATTTGAGTAACTTCTACATTTGGCGGGAATTTACATCATACGTACATGAGGTAGATCGTCGATACATAATCTGTGTTCCAATATTCACTGCCACTACTGAAAATTTAGTACTGGCAATGAAAATTGGAACCCAGCCGTAATATTTGTCGTTTGCACAAAAAAAATACATAGATTGGATTAAAGAAACAGCAATGGATATTATAACCTTGTCCAAAGAAAGACATAGATTGTGTACAGATACAAACAATCAGCCAATGTATGATCCTCAAGGATTTTTAATAATATTTGACGTAATAGGTAAGTACGCGATACATTGTGATTTGCGCTTTTTAAGTAACATTTGTCTTAAGTTAAAATCTTTATAAGTATCTTTCTTCTTACAGATAACAAGTTAATATCAGTGCCTGTTTCGGAAGAATCTTTGACATTTTTCGACTTACAACAAGTAGTTCTAAACACTGATAAACCCGAAAACTGTGATCTTGAGTCCAGCAGTACATTTACAAGTATTCAATCAATTCAACACGGTATAAATTTTCACGTTTGCTTTACATATAACATAATGTAATAAAGAGTGCATTTGCTTTAAATGCTCACACGTTTTAAGCACTTCTCTTTTTTAAAAGAGGAAGGAGAAGAAAATGCGTCTAAAGCAAATGCACTCTTTATCATATTGTGTTTTTTTGATAATGTGCTTTTGATAATAACACAACTTAAATATTTACTATGATTACAACTTATTTTTTCAATATTACAGCATCTTGGAAGGATCACAATGCCGTAAGGCGATTAATTTATGCCTGGAAAGAACATGAAAAAGATTTTAAAAGTGGAAAATATAAGTCTTCCGAGGTGTGGAAAAATATTGCCACTGTTCTTCAAAATGAAAATAAGCTGTGGATATATACTGGCGTACAGTGCGAAAACAAATTTAAAGAACTACGCAAGAAATATTGTAAAGTTAAAGATCACAACAAGCAATCAGGCAATAATCCAATTACTTGTAAATTTTTTGATGAATTTGAAGAAATATTAGGAGATAAACCATATGTCCAACCTGTGGCCTTAGCCTCCAATTTAAAAAAACGACCACCAATGTCCAGTTCTCAAGAGAGTGATATAGAAAGTACATCTGATAAAGATGAATATGATAAAAAGAAAAAAGTGAAAAAAACCAGAGTTCAGAAAGAGTTGAGCGAATGGTCTGCTGCTTTACGTGAAGATGCTAAGCGTTGGGAGGAAGCAAAAGAACGGCGTCACAAAGAGATAATAACAGCATCTGATCGAGCAATTGTTGTGTACAAAGAAATGATGGAGAAACTTATTGACAAGTTATAAGAACTGAATATATAATTGCGAGAAGTTTTATTACAAGTTCCAAAGAAAATCTGTGATGTCACATTTTATTTTAATAAGTGATTATATAATAGAATATATTATTTTGTTATATTAAGAGAGACTAGATTAGCCAGATTGTTCATAATTTGATAGATAAAATCCATTAGTGATATTATTTATGAAGTGATATTATATGTAGAATTTATTTTAGAGCCCATACATCACTTCTTGTAAGACATTATTTTTATGATTGATAGCATTTTCAGTTAACATAGCTTTTATAAGTATAAATATAATGACTAAATATTCTTTCTATTCAAATATTGTTTGTGCAAAAATAATAGTATAATATAATAAAAAAATATATTTTGATAAAATAAGTTTTATTTATTA